TAGGTGAAGGGGAACCTTTTGCCCAAAAAATGCAAATATGAAATATACCCAAAATTTGTTTGCGATGTATGCCACTTGACCGCAATACTTTTCCCTAAAGAAGGAAAATTGGCTGCTGCTAATCTGTTAACAAAGGGAAAACCAAAACGAAGGCAAATGAAAATTTCACTAGAATGGAAAGTAATAAGCAAGAAAAGCTCGACAACGGTAGTGTAGAAAATCTCAAATTCTTCCCAATCTTTGTTGGGTTCTTGATCCTAAGTGCTGCAAGAAGCACAATGAGAAGAGCTAGATAAAGAGAACCACTGAGAATGCTTCATTGAAAATGCTTGCATAATTTAGGAAAAGATTGACAATGGATTGAAAAGGGAACAGGGAAGAACAGGAGGGCGAAGTTCTTTGGAAAATAAAAATATTTCTCAAAGAAAAGGCTAATGTTCAGGGTAAAAAGCTCCTAAAATCCCACCGGTTTTTTAGAAAAGGGTTTTCTAGAAATTTTGGGATAGATTGGAGAGAATATTCTAGAGGAGAGAGACTAAAAAACATTCAGATAGGACAACATTGGGCATCCCCATTGGTTATGTCCACATCATCCTCGAATTTGGAGTTGCCATTGGTTTGCCCGAACCCAAAACAAGAACAAAGCCTCATGTTGGATGAGGTAACCCATAGCTCATATCCATCCTTGGCAATTGCCACATTGAAATCCCAATTATCATCAGTAGAGCCTTTACCCCACTATTTGGAGTTGGCTACATGAATCTCAGTCCGTCATTCTACTCTATCAACAGTCGTACCCTCAACGAGACTATAAGTCTCATTTTCTCATTATTCCAACCATGTCCTTTTGGGCTTACCCCTTGAACTACTTCACTGCACATGGGCCTACCCCATGTCCTAACAGCTGTTGTACTTGGTTTACATTGCACATGACCAGCCCACCTAAGTCTACTTTCTCTCATCTTATTGCCCACATTGAAATCCAAATTTCAACTCAAGTTTTGAAGAAAATCCAAAAGCAAGTTCCTTGACTGGTTCCAAAATACATGTAACTGAAAATTCCGACCTGAGGCCGAACCTTCAACCAAGCAATGCAAAATTATACAGGTAGCACGAAAGAGGAAGGACAATGTGCGACACAAAGTGTAGTAAATGAACTGGAAAAAAGGATATACAATATGTAGTAGCAACCCAGTACCATGCTACAACTACACCCATGACCTTTAAAACGAATTCTTCCAAGGCCAAAAACATACGAATAAAAGTGGGAGGAACTAATGAGGCAAAGAGCAAGAGAAACAGCGGAAGAAAGGGAAGTAATACAGCAAATGGAGCTCGGTTGCATGAGGAAAGATTAGCCTTGAAGAAAGTGCCAGGAAGTATAAACACTATTTAATAGTAAATCTATCCAACTAGAGTATGGAGGTAGTATTCATGGCATGAGCTTTGGCACTTATACTCCAAGTTGGACATTAAACCATAGAGTTATAGTTATGGCTCTATTGTACAAAAACTTGAATTTAGTACAATGGCTGTTGTACCCTTACAAATCCCCAATAGTCTTGTGAAAAAATATGACTTATCCCAATAAAGACATGGATAAACTAGGCAGACTGCTTTCATGATACTTTTAGTGACAAAACACCACATTTCCCACTACACAGTCTCTCACTGCCTGCATAATGCCCTGAAATGACATGTCAGATTACAATGTGTATGGAGAGAAGGTAGAGAGAGAATCATATGTTTGTTTTGTTCTGCATGGAACTTTCAGCATTCTGTCTAAAAGGTGTACCTTCATGATCATGAAGAGAACAAAGAGAGAGATTAGCCTACTTGAGCCCCTAGAACTCCCAAACTAATGTCTTGTATTACCATTATCCATTATTGAGAAATGAGCAATAGTTATTTATAGATGCCCTAACTCAAGGGATCCAGCAGCATATACTATAGCAAATAGGAAACCAATCAATCATGTCAAGACATTTCAAGATTGATAGTATGGATGACCTTAGTTGTGCCTAGAATATGTTAGAATGCACTAATTCCTGTGCCACCTGTACCCTATCAGAATTTTGTTGCCTTCTAACAAAATCCCCAGTAGAAAAGCCCTAGCCTATTTGATCCTCTTGGAAAGCACCTAGAACTGTCATGCAAAAAATTTTTAGTAGTTCAATAGGTCAAGCCCAATAAACCCCTTTCTTTCAAGAGGTGTGAACAAAAAAGCAATATTTTCCTTTTATAGGTTTTGGAATATTATTTGATTCAAGGGAAAGTGGTTTATATGTTGGTTATGCATCGCGTCGGGGGACGCATAAGTACATTTGTGGCCCCTTAGGCTCACACATCTGTCTCAAACAGATGTGGAGTTGCAGTCTCTCAACAAAAGGGCAAAATCAACGGTATAAAAATTTCTTTCGAAAAATTATCATTTTTAGTTTTAAAATTTTATATATTTTTACACATTCATGATGTCCATGCTAGAGATTATGTTCACCTAAAAAATTAAGTTTATATGTTGTTTATGCGTCGTGTCGGGGGATGCATAAGTACATTTGTGTCCCCTTAGGCTCACACATCTATCTCAAACATAGATGTGGAGTTGCGGTCTCTCAACAAAAGGGAAAAATCACGGTATAAAAATTTCTTTCTAAAAATTATCATTTTTAGTTTTAAAATTTATATATTTCTTCACATTCATGATGTCCATGTTAGAGATTATGTTCACCTAAAAAATTAAGTCCAAAATCCATATAAAAAATGGATCATGAAGAGGGGATGCATATGTACATATGAGTCCTAGGACTTTTAACAACCTTGTCCTTGATGCAATGGGTCTAGAAAGATTCATTGGTTTGTTCCAACCCCTCAACCTTTTTGATAGTTTTTCTTGTTTACTCTTCACATTATCCCATAGTATGAAAGAATCATGTATTCTGATCCCTAGTTACTGGGGACGGGAATGGGAGCGCGGAGGAAGTCTATCTCGAAGTTCCCGAGAGCGGAGTGAGCTCCATACATGGTATGGGGAAGGGAACGAATTCCATGACTTCTAGGGAGCGCATTTCTATATGGACAGGAGCTGGTTCCCTACCATAAGGGATCGTGTTGTGCTGTTCTTAGGATTGAGGTTTCCGGAGTTCACTATTTCAAGTATATTGTAAATTGGGAGTGAGTTCCATTTTTTGGTATGGGCTCATGGGTGGATAGAGGGAGTGGGCGAGAGAGCGGGGGGAATGGATAGAGGAGTGAAGTACTATGAGTTATGCATCTTTTCTACCAAGGTTGTGCTCTAATCAACCCTAATGCCCAAGAATGTGATCCCAAACATGAATATGAAGATATGGTTGCATTTTTTTTACTTTTTTCCCTTTCTTTACCTATAGGATTAAAGTGATTAACTTTAGAAGATTGGCGAGAAAAGTCATTGCGTATTTAAGATGCTGTGAGTACTTAGAGCTCGTGGCTGTAGTTCCTTTAAGGATTCATTTTCTTTACACACGAACAGTATGAAAGCCACAACCAATGGCCATCCATCCTCTGTAACCCTTTCGTATCTCACCTAAGCTGGTACATAGACACAACATGATCAGTTCAGTATTGTAACACAATTATAGTTTCAATGTGCAACCCATTCTGACTGTACTGGGAGACTTGTACATAGTATTACCTTATTTCATTAGAAATGCACCATTAACCGATTGTGCAACACATCCTTTTTACCGTAATGAAGTGTATTGATCGTGACCTCACTTCACAATAAAATTGCAACACGGCTAACTTTTGAACCTCCTTCCAATCTTGTCCCTAAATGTCATTGCAAAATGCATGCGTCGTTGAAAATTTGAGGAAACCAAATATTTCACTCCCATGGTATAAGATACTTGGTTCTTGGTATGATGGGATTATGGTTCAAAATGATATTGGGGCCATGACCTTGGGCTTGGGGATCTGGATTCAGCTTGCTAGGGACCTTGTTCCCAAATAATAGAAACCGAGTTCCCATAACTCCGGATATGAGATCCGAATAAGAAAGGAAGCGCCTAGAATCGCAATCCGATCACTCGGAGCACGGGATCAAGAATCCGGGTGGAAGCGAACCCCTACATGGGCACTCCTGGTAACTATGCTCTGATCACTTTGTCAAACCTTGTCATTGTTAAAGTAACTTGTGGTTTCAATGGACCTACTATTTTCTCTTGTTCTGATAATGTACTATTTACTCATCACTCCTTGTTTAAGTTATATTACTTATCTCAATGTCTCTTTAGCTTCAAGAATCTCTTTTTTTCATGCCGTCCATTTTCCTTGCCAATCATCCCCTGCGTTATGTTTAGCCTTCAATGTTTGAGGTCTAGGAGCCTTACATCACCCACGTTCTTAGGACTTAATTAGTAATATTTGTTTACTACCAAATTTGGATGTGCATTGAAACCAAAACCAAATAATGGTCTGCCATTTATAGATGGCTTTTGGATATTCATATAATGATTGTTTCATGGTCATCTCTCGTGATACAAAAACAATAGACAGAACTTCGCTTTTTTGATTGGTTGGCATTTGGTTGACTAGACATTTTTACATGCAAATCTATGGACAAATGGAGTGAAAGAATATAGAAGTGTTTCTTAGTTTCAATTTGTACTTAATTTTTGCTTATGACAAAAGAAAAATCAGTACCACTATTGTTTAAGTATTTACTTTGTTGGGTGGATTTGGAATGCACCCATTGTATGTCTTAAGAACAGGCCATTCTTGATGTCACATAAATCTTCGCAAATACTTGTAGATTGCTAGTGTTCTTCTCGAGCCAAAAGTTAGGGTAAATTCAGGGTGATTTTGAGTAGCTGAAATGATGTGGAGCGTATTGATTTATTTAGATGACGGAAGTGTGTTTCTGGTTGCTTTCTCTGTTCACAGTTACCTGAACTGCTAATAAGAATTTATTTTATAATCATTATATAGTCTAATTATAAGTTACCTCTGGTGCGTGTTTACAGATATCTGCAATCGCTCGAATCCGCAACGCACTTGCATTTGCTACACATACATTCTTCCAGAAGCATGGATTTCTTTACGTTCAGACTCCGATCATCACGACTAGTGATTGTGAGGGTGCTGGTGAAATGTTTCAAGTAACAACTTTGTTCAGTGAGGCTGAAAAGGTCGAGAAGGAGTTGAAAGAAAATCCTTTACCATCAGATGCTGACATAGAAGCTGCTAAGCTCCTCGTCAAGGAGAAAGGAGAGTTGATTTCACATTTGAAGTCATTGAAAGCTAGTAAGGAGGAGATTAGTGCATCTGTTGTTGAACTTACAAAGGCGAAGGAAAATCTCGCAAAGATGGAAGAGAGATCTAAACTTACAGCTGGTATTCCAAGAAAGGATGGGAAGGTTGATTATTCCCATGACTTTTTTGCTCGTCAAGCGTTTCTAACTGTATCTGGCCAGTTGCAAGTTGAGACCTTTGCTTGTGCCCTTAGTAGTGTTTATACATTTGGGCCAACTTTTCGAGCAGAAAACTCTCATACATCAAGGCATTTAGCTGAGTTCTGGATGGTGGAGCCTGAAATCGCCTTTGCAAACTTGGTGGTAAGGTGCTTGTACTCCTTTTTTCTAATCATTGTTTAGTAGTTTGCCTGCGTCCTTTTGGTAATGCTTTTAGCATTAGTGAGTAACCCTTAACTGGATTGGGTTGGAAGTAATTGATGAGTGGCCATATAGCATTCCTTCTATCCTTCCTTTTGTTAGTTTCCTATACTCATCAATGGGCATGTATCTTAGGCAACAATAGAAAGATTGAGTATGTTGTTTGTATTGAAATTTTTATTGACATTTGAACCTTCTAATATTTTACAGGATGATATGAACTGTGCAGAAGATTATGTAAGATTCCTGTGTCAATGGTTGCTTGATAACTGTCTTGACGACATGGAATTCATGGTTAAAAATTTTGACAAGACGGCCATAGATCGTCTGAAGATGGTATCATCAACTCCTTTTAAGCGCATTACATACACAGAAGCGATAGAGCTGCTGAAAGATGTGAAAGACAAGGCTTTTGAGAACAAGGTGGAGTGGGGTATTGATTTAGCATCAGAGCATGAGAGGTACTCTTAAGCTCTGTAGTGTGAATCATTTGTGCCTTTTTTTTTTTTCTTGATCCAGCATAATTGCTACTCTACTATGCAGGTACTTGACTGAAGTGCACTTCAAGAAACCAGTTATCGTGTACAACTACCCAAAAAAAATTAAAGCATTTTATATGCGTGTCAATGAGGACAATCAAACAGTGGCTGCAATGGATGTCCTCGTACCTAAGGTATGCTAGTCAGTGCTATCATCTGTCACACTTCACACTTTATTTTATTGTATATGATTGGGCACCTTTATTGTTTTGATCGGGCCATCCATGAAGTAGGAAATGGCTGTTTGTTGACGTTAAAATGAGTATCATTCTCAAATTTTAGTTGAGGACTTACTGAAGTTGTTTTCCCAATGATTTGATTTACACATGCAAGAAAGACATCTCAAGCAGCTGTCCTTTTTCCAGGTTGGAGAATTGATTGGTGGAAGTCAAAGGGAGGAACGGTATGACAATATTGTGGAAAGGTGTGGTCAATACTTTCTTCCTTCGCTCATTTGTGTTTCAGAAATGCATTGAGAGTCGCTTGTTGATATATAGGTTCTAACTAAGTTAAAGGTTTGGTAGTAAGCAGGCGTCAAGCTTGTAGGCTTTCTAATAGATGCATATGTTCTAAACTCTTTGAAATTTCTTGGTTTCCTGCACAAAGGGATTTTCCTCATTGACTATGGAGTATAGAAGTAGGGATTATTTTATTGGCTATCTGAAAAGGAACTGGATAAAACGAGCTGCATCTTTTGATTGGTGTGAAACAGTTATGTAGTCTAATATTAAAATCTTGGGACTGGACTGTACTTCATCTGATCTAAATTTGTTCAAGGCCTATTGCTGATCAAGGGTGTTGCCTTTCTGTCGAAATTTTGTGTCATATTGGTCACTTTCAATTTACTAAATTGTTTTTCTGAAGCGTCTATTGCATTGCTGTGACATGAGTTTTTACATTGTGCGGGGAGCAGCTCTGTATTATAAGCTTTGGGTGTGATAACTGCATCCACATATATCTGCATGGATTTCTTATTATTATTTTTGGATAATTTAATTTTATTAATGAATAAAACAGGTATAATGGGGAGTGTACATGTACAGTTACAAAGAGTAATTCAATCTCACATTCTCACATTCATCCAGGAACTCATATATAAAGGCACATCTTGGCTGCCTCGAAGACAATTTCATCTAAGACAAGAAAGGAACTCAACTGCCTCAGCATCTTTTGTATGATGCACATATTGGAGTGATGCAAGCATGTCAAGAATCTCCTCTAGTACATCTCCAATCCCACATGATCTAGGAGTTCTATTAAGCCACGTTAAGTGATCCCTTTCAACGATCAGAGTAACTCTTTTTGAGACAAGATAATTCCTGAGCTCACTAGGAAGCTCCTTGATATCTAGATTTGTGTTGCTCATCAAAACCTTTTTTAGCTTCCTCAATCTCGCCACGAAATAGCCCACAAACCTTATATCCCTGGCTTACACATAGAATGACGTGTACAAATTCGGTACCCCACAGGTCGACACAGGTCATACTCTTATGCGAACTTCATGACTAACCGTCCATTTCTTACGTCTTCTCTACCCTTAAAGCTTGTAATAAACTCCTCTCCAAGGCCCAGGTCGTGATGCTCAACTTGATGTATTCCATGAACTCCACGTGCTGCACCCTCATGCTAGAAATGCTGTTTCTTGATCTCCTTCCGCCTCCACATTAAGCAGCCGATGGTTAGCAGTCCTTGCCTTGATTTATTGGAGATTCCTTCTCTGCATTTCCTTCAAAGGCCCTGCTAACTGGCTGACCCCAATCGTTTTGAAATTCCTCAAACTCATTGATTCCACTCCCTTTTCTTTTGATTACTTCCATTTGAGCAATATCCACTCAGCCTGATTGGCATTCCTCCTATTCCTGTTACCCTTGATACCTTAAAGTCTATATGAACTCCAAATGGTATCTGCTGCTTGAACAATTTGCATTCCTAACAACTGCAGATACTTGTCAAAAGACGAAGCAGATCACCTCTCCTTTTTCCTTTAATCTCATGGCTGACCATACTACAGTTGGCCATTCCTCATGATGAATTGGTTATGAACCAACACCCCCAAGGGCCCCAACCCAAGTTCCCCTTTTAATTTTTAAATAACGTGTCTTTGTATTCTATGAAGCATGCCTGCTATGACTTGTCAACTACTCCACTACTGCTGTGACGCTTCTGTATTTGCTACTTGTGTTGGTGGTCATACTCAAACTATAACCTGCTTAAGATACCTTCAAAAAAAAATTGAGCTCGACACTTTGTTCTTTTCTACTCTGAATGTCAAACTGCAATCTCCAGACACCCCCTTCTGCTTAAGTTTGCTTACTTGTGGAGGACTTCCCATGCTGGACTCTTTATTTCTTTCCCGTATCTCTTAACCCTAATCTTAGTCCTGCCAGAGAACATCTAAGTGTAGTATGCCAGCATGAAGGGGATGAAGAGGTGACACTTCTTTGATTAGGATGAAGAGGTGACACCTGTCATTTGAATATTAGTAGATGTTCTGCCTATCAACAAAAATTAATATCAGGTGATGTTATCTGGAAAGGGGGCCTGGATTAGAGTTGACAGGCTCTCCCTCTATGGCTGAGATACTTCTATGATTATTCATCTCAGCCACTGGAAATGCTGTTGTGAAATTTGTGGCAGCAACTGCAGCATCCAGTATGAGATTGTCCATTCATACGGGATTTTGTAGGTTGTTTCTGCATTAGCTTGGGTAGTATTTTGTTGGAGATGATGACTAAGAAATTTATGACTTGGTCAAGCAGTTTCTGTGATTTCGGTGGGAAGTGTTGTTGATTGAATTTCTTGAAAACTTTCTGAAGTTCTTTTTTCATTCAAGGTCACATTCCTATTGTTTTTATCCAGCTTTCTTGAGCAGACTATATTGTCTCCTCTGGAGATTTGGGGAGAAGGTAATCTAAAGATGTTTTGTTTTACCTGATGGGAAAATAGGGTAAATTGAGTGCTACAAAGTAAATATTTTATTCATTCTAAAAATTACAATAGACCTGAAGAAAACTCAAGAGACACTGGCAAATCTGGCCAAACAGTGAGGCACGTATTGAACTTGGACTGGGATGATTCGCATGGGTTCTGATCACTATTTTAGAAATTGCTATCTGCATCAGGAGTCATCCAATCCAGATCAAGAATCGCCCAACAGTGTTTTGTTTCTTGGGCTGAATTAGCGTTACATGTATCATATATTATATAATATTGATAACTTTTAGTAAAAAGGTTAAAGAGCTCTCTGGCTAGCTCCTCCCGACCTTTTAAATGAGACTTGAGTTTCAAATCCCCTGATGTGATGTGTCAAGTTATATGTTTTAGATGTTCAGATTATAAGCTACTATGTATTTTTCATTTTTTATTGTTGATATTTACCTGGATGGATGGTCCACACTGATCCAGATCGGCAATCTGGCGATCTGACATGGGAGGGTGGGTGGATGATGCACCCCGCAGCTCCATTTATTTAAACATTGATTCTGATAATGGGTGGATGATGATGATGGTTATGACAGTAGATGTGGTTGTCTTGTGACTTTTTCGTCTGTGTGATTCTTGTAGCCCGGACTCTTTGGGGATTATAATTGTGGTTTTAGGATCTCAGGAATTTGTCTGGAGGAGAAGCCTGACTGAACCAGCTCAAGGTTCTTTATGAAGCACTTTACAATCATATTTTTTCTTTGATTGTTAATGTGTTTTATTACTTACAATTGATACCTAAAGTTATGATCGCACAAACACCTAAAAACTCCAAAAAATACTGAGACATCTCCAGTGAGATGCTGAGGATGTATCTCAATGGAACCTCCCTTTCTGAAGCATATGCAGACATTGCCATTCTACCATTTCCTTGGCTCTGGAGTAGAGTCCACTTTCTTCAGTGGTGTTCGATAGGCGATTTACTGTTAGAAAGAAAGTGTGTCACCTCAATCTGAGAAGTGGGACTGAGACATGTTTGGGAGCAAATGTGATCTAAGGCTTCTGGATTTGTTTTCTTCTCGTGCTTATGATTACTTCAAAATTTAAGCCTAACCATTTGAAAGTTACGCTAGCAGAAAAGTCAAGGCTCAAACCTGTAAACCCATTTCACTAATAGTTGAAAATCTTGGAATAAGTATATAAATAAATTCGGCAGCAGGAGATCATCTGGATGTTTTTAATTCCTTTTGATTTTCTAGTGCAATAGTTGATTTGGCTTAGTTTCCCATACATGTTTGTTTTTCAAATGCTTTGATTGTGAGAAGTATCCTTATAAACTTGATTGGTTGCAGGATCAACGAGATGGGGCTGCCTATAGAGCCTTACGAATGGTATCTTGATCTGAGGCGTTACGGCACTGTAACTCACAGTGGATTTGGTTTGGGTTTCGAGCGCATGATCCTGTTTGCTACAGGCCTGGACAACATCAGAGATGTTATTCCCTTTCCAAGATACCCTGGCAAGGCTGATCTTTAGATTTTATGCCTTCTCCACAATTAGTACAATTCCTAGGTTTATTTATTGTGTATTGGGTTTTAATTTTAGTTTCGTTGGATATTTCGAGGGAAATTAATATTATAGGCAATTTTTTAGTGATCTGCTCTAAAGAGTTATCTTTGTGAAAGTAAGGATTAGTAGGGTCTTGGTGAAGCTGCTATGCGTCCATAAGTGGTGATCATGTTTACCGTCAAAAAGCGTGGATGATGGTTTCAAATTTCTCAGGTAAATTGAATGTCTTTGTTTGCTGATATAAGTGGAAAAGTTAGTGAAGAAAGCTGAACACAACGATGAAATCTTGGACGATGTCGCAGGGTGGCAATGGGCCAGGCTTGGGTCCGTTGCTCGGTGGGGCGCCCCCCATTATATTTAGCCGGGCCATGCTCCAATAACAGCTGGCTCGGGTGTGGAACAGCCAACCCATTGGCACTCCTGCAGTACCATCCCTCGAGACGAAAAAAAGAGCAGAACAAAGGGCATTAAGGGGGGGAATCACAAAAACGAAAGGTGGAGAACTGGATCTTAAAAACTCAAAAAACAAATAAACTATCTCAGAATTAAAGAAGAGACGATCTTAAATGTTTTAGAAAGACCAACAATATTAAATATTTTAGAAAGAGAAACTAACTCAAAATCTTTAGCAAGAAAAGCTTCCTCCAAATTTTTAAGGGGAGACGATTTTAAAATTTTTGGAGAGACTATCTCAAGGTTTTTAGAGATAAAGCAATCTCAAATTTTAAATTTTTAGAGAGAGACATTATCTGAAAAAAAATTTAAATAGAGTAATTTGAAATTTTTAAAGAGAAATTATAGCAAATTAAAAATTTGAGAGAGTAACTCAAAAATTTTTAGAGACAAACTATCTCATCATTTTTAGAGAGGCTATCTTAAAAATTATAAAGAGAAACTATCACAAATTTTAATTTTTTAGTGTGGAACTATATCAATTTTAAGAGAATTTTTTAAAATTTTTAGATTGAAACGATCTAATTTTTTTAGTCCAAGAGCGAGCATCTCAAAGTTTCAAAATCTGCTCCAAAGGCAAGACCAAAACCTTACATCTCTCTCCCTCTCTTACAAAAAAACCTCTCAAGCACTCTTAAAACAAATAACTCTCTCTAACAAACAATAGTCTCCCTTTCTAAACAAATAGCACTATCGCATTGTAAAAATAAATAGCTCGCTATTAAATTTCTTATGTTTATGAGCTGGGTCATTCCTCCCTCTCTAACAAACAATAGTCCCCCTTTCTAAACAAATAGCACTATCGCATTGTAAAAATAAATAGCTCGCTATTAAATTTCTTATGTTTATGAGCTGGGTCATTCCTCGCTCATGTGGTAAAAGGGAAACAGAAATGGTGTGCATGTCGTGCGGGTGGGACAGGGCAAGAGCGTATTGGCGGTGATGCCGAGCAAAGGATGTAGGTAGACGCGTCTTTTTTTTTTATTATTTAATAGAATTTGAATGCAAATTGAAAAATCTGAAGAAAACAAAAAAAAAAAACACACCCAAAAGCACCTGCTCACTCAAGGACTGACCGTATCCCGATATATTGTGGGATCCAAATTGTCTATGACGATTTTTCGATCCGTATCAGAATTTTTCAAACACTGAAATTTCCAAATACCATCCAGGAAAATTCATAAAATGAAATTTCGCTGCTGAAAAACTCCCATAAAAAACACGCAACAGCTCCGATTCACTTAGGGACCGGCCGGATCACGAGATGTTGTGGTATCCAGATCGCTTATGGATCGGAATTTTTCAATATGAACCATAAAATTCCCAATTACCATCCAGAAAAATTCATAAACTTTGAAACTAACGGAAATTTAACCGCTAAAAAACTCCCATCAAATGCAAATATTCGACATTGAAACATGGTTTAATTTCTTCTCAAACACCAACGTACCAAACCATAATGCCATTGCTACGCCGGATAAGAAATCAGATCTACAGAATTTTGAGTGACTACCGTCACTCATACCCCTCCAAGTCCAATGGATGATCTTGCTCTAGATCTCGGCACCCAATTCTTTATCCATTCATCAAGGGTAGACACGTTCCTGCTGAGATCTTCCACAGAATCACTCTTTAATGCCACAATGATGTCCTCGGCATAACTCTCATGCGCCTCCTCGAGCAGTGTTTGAAATATTTCACATTCAATGTTGTTCTTAAGCTTCTGATCCATGTAACCTCTGTATTATTGTCGTCAGGACAAAGTCACAAGGGTAAACACCCACAATAACAGGACTAGGAGATGGACAGTAAGGTGCAAAGGTTAATGATTTTTCAGCACCAATGATCAAAAATGTGGATTCGAGGGTCTACGCTTTTTGGGTGCCTGGCAGCCTAAGTGGCCCCCTTTGATATGAGTTTTAAATGAATATATAAGATCAAGATGTTACTATGTCAATTTTACAATAAGACTTTACTCGTTAAGATATCATATAATTAAGAATTTATGAATTCAGATATGTGATATGATATTATTAAAATGTTAGTTTTAAAACAGAATGACTTAATATTACTTTACAATAAGACTTTAATGCATATATAAGATCTTAGTTCCACTTTAAGAATTAAGACTCAATTCATTAAGATCTCACATAAATACATAAACAATTATTTATTAAATAAAGAAAAACAAAATAATAGAATAACAAAACATGACACATCGTACAAAAAAAAGAATCAACTATTTATAAAAGAATACGATATATGCTCAATTTCACTGTCCAAATGAGAAAAAAATCAATCTTTTACCTACAAATATGTAAATATATCGTAAGAGAAAAAAAAAGTAAAGAAAATGCACATGATTCACAACATAATACATTATAACAAAATAAAATCAAAATCATATTTCAAATATGAAAATACTTTCAAAATATCAAAATCAAATCAATGTCAGTGCAAACCTTGTTTATTGGGTCGCCAAAAGTTCTCAAAATCAACTACTAGAACCTCCAAATTCACCCACGAACTATTGCCTTTGTTTTGGGAAGAATTGAAAAAATAAAATATTTATCGATCTTTCATTAAATCACAAAAGAGTGGTTTTTGAAAAAAAAAAAGGGGGGGGGGGGGGCGAGGGGGCCTAAAAAAATAAAATTTTTGACCCTCACCGAGGTATTTTTTCCACCCGTCCACAAAGTGTCAATGGGCGGCGCCTAGGCAGGTGTCCAGAAAGTAGCGCCTAGGTGGCAGCCCAAAAACTGGGGGCATAATGACCCCGCCCAGACAGCGCTTAAGCATTTTTTGAATTTTTTCGCCTTGGCGGTTGGGCGGTCAAATTTTCAAGTAGTGTTCAGGACAAAAAGGGATTTACTAATAACTAATCTTAACCTATAACGTTTATATTTTTTGACAAATGTTTATACATCTACGATATATCATATATGACAAACAGCTTGCATCAAAAATCAGTTTTCAGCACGATCACATTGGTTTCATGGGTCTAAATCCAAGGACGGCCCAAAGAAAATATTTTGATGATTTTGATCCTTTGAGGTCTAATGCAACAGTGGTCGAACAAGATGAGTAGCTGGAACGTTGATATTGCAAACAGGAAGTACACCATTTGGAAACCCCAGTCCATTGGGTCATCATCACCATACACGAAATGATGAAGGTGAGAGTATATACTCACTCTCCATCACCATCCATTTCATCAGACAGTGGTCATTCTAGTGGTATATACTACACGCCTCCTAATGCCAAAAAAATTGCATTCTTACCTGCTGGTCAAACGGTCATACAATATGGAATTGTCAGTTTGCAGGACTACCACACGATCAAACCAACGCTCAGGGAAGAAATCACAGCCATGGTGATCAACAACATTTCCCCCCTCCTCCATCATGTCTTCAAGCTCATCACAAACCTGCAAAGAAAATATACCAGTCCAACATGTAATAATCCTAGATGTGCTCAAGTGACAGATGAAGCATATAACCAACCAAAAACAACATTTATGACTTTTACATCATTTCTCTTTTGGATATTTTATTTTTTGTATTAAAATCTTTTCATATAAATGCAAATGCCAATAGTATAAAACGCTGAATACTATTTTGATAAATGGAGCATTAATCAAAAGTCAGAGATGCACAAATATTAAAGCGAGATAAATGAATGTTGAGATTTCTATTCAATTGTCTCTTCAAAACCATTTTTCTATAGATGATCTGGATCTATAGGAAGGACTTGTAGCATTAAGGTCTCTAAAGTCACTACAGGCCAAACATATCCATTTGTTAGAAATCGTGGAAGGCTTGGGAATATGCATGAATAAAACTAAGAGTCACAATAGCAAAGAGTAATAAACATCAAGCATTCAACATCAGAATAATTGCTACTGCTAAATAGAACAGAATCAATAAAACAGAAGGGTGCGGTGTGTATAGAGCTGAGGCTCTATACAATCTAAGTAAAGCGCACATTCAAATAGTGTCAAGAAATGTGGTTTCAATACTAGAAATGTTTGTGATAGCCTTAAAATATATTTTCATCTATAATTATAAAATTTAAACCTTCAAAAATGGTGTAGATCGAGCAGATCTATGAAAACTTGAAAATCTTGAAAATTGACGGTCAAAAAATGCGTTACAAGATGCACTATTTCCAAAACTTGAAATCCATTTTTTTCTCATGTCCATGCATCTTGATGTCGTGATGACATTTTGAGAATATTTGGGTACAAAACCAACCTCTTCTAGTGAAATTTTTGAGGTGGGCTCTAATTTGATTATTTAGAGCCTCAGCTCTATATAAACTTTTTCCTAAACAGAATGCCGAAGGAAACTCTGGTAGGAGGGAAGAGGAGCAGGCAAGTATTCATTTGGAATTTCCATACAAAGACAACATTCAAAACAAAAAAGCCATGCAAGTAGAACTCACCAGCAATATAGTATGAGATATTTTTTAACAAAACTAAAAGCTACGCTACAATGCAATAAACAACCACTACTGCACCACCTCGCATCGAGCTCCCCAAGTCATAAGTGCACATAGACAATCCGATACTACTATGGGGGACCTACTGAAGGTCATCATCATGCACCGATGCTTATGAACAAATTAAAACAAATCAACAAACAATAAATCCCCACAGGGTAGTAAGATCAGATCATAATTTTTTAACTTGCTTTTTATTGATAACCAGTGTTCGCAAAATCGAACCGGAATGGTTAACCGGACATGGAGCTAGGAGCGGTTTGAACTGGAACCGGACTAACCGGGGACGTTAACCGGACTAGCCGGTCAAGTAGAATTTTTTAAAAAAAAAATGGATAAAAAACTCCCAAAAAATAAAATAAAAAAAGGAAATACTTAGATTAAGTGTATAATATCTTATTACATATAATTATCTTACAAAAAAAAAATTGAAACAGCTTTTTATAAATTAATATTTGAATACTATGGTCCTGTACATGAAAATATCTTAAGATATTTTTTGAAGATATTTTTGTCATGTAACATCTTCTTCCAAGCACTAACATATTCATTCCAAACCTTACATTGTAAAACTTTCTAGTTTCTTTTGAACAAAAATCACTCACATTAGGAATGAAAGTTTATGTATTTTTTTGCAAATAACAAAAGTAGCTTATTACTATTAAATCAAATAAAAACACCAACTAATTAAGACAAGAAATAGAAAGGACCTATTCCATATAGTTAGATAGAAGTTAAATGAGGCATACTTCACAAAAAGTACATCTCATGACATGCAACAAAACGAAAAATTAATGCACAGCTGTTTTTATATGTATCTACCATAACCATATCAGTGTGTTGTGCATTGATTTTATCAAAAAATAAGAACCGTAGAACAAATAATTTGATCAAAAAATAATTTTATTAAGCAAAATAGAAAAACACTTCCCTTATTTATCATAAAACATAATTTTATTGAAATACCATAATTTTATCAAAAAATAATTTTACCAAGCAAAATGGAAAACCACTTCCCATATTCATCATAAAACATAATTTTATTAAAAACCATAATTTTATCAAAAATAATATATTTGTTAAGCAACACAGAAAAACAGTTCCCATATTCATCAAAAAATATAATTTTTTATTAAAAAACATAATTTTAATTAAAAGACGATTTTATTAAGCAATATAGAAAAAAACTTCCCATATTGATAACAAAACATAATTTTATTAAGAGAAATGATTTTTTTTTTAAAAAATCAATTTTTCAAAATGTGAGGGATGATTTGAAATTAAGATCACATTTGTAAAACTCTCTCTCTCTCTCTGGAATCGGGCTAGATCGAGATCGGCCAGTGACCGATCCCGAGTTAGTCGGCCGATTTTTTTGAAATCAGCCTATCTTTTAAAGTCCATTTCTATAACATTCCAAAAATCTTGATAGAAAATGGGGAAAAAAAAAAAGGAAAAAGAGAAGAACCAAGCACATACAAGACGATGGTGTAGTGTTTCATTGAACATAAGGCAATCAAAATTTTTACATGTACTTAAAAAAACAAAATGTCTCATTTCCATCATTACAAATATAACTATATCATGCACTTAAAACAACAGAACTAAAAAACATTGAGCGACATTATCATGCACTTATCAAAAAGAAGAATCAATTTCATCAAAAAATAATTTTATCGAAAAGAATAATTTTATTAAGAAAAATAGAAAAACACTTCCCATATTCATCAAAAAACGTAATTTTATTAAAAAATCATAATTCTATTAAAAATAATTTTATTAAGCAAAATAAAAAAACACTTACCATATTCATCAAAAAACATAATTTTATCAAACAAAATATTTTTTTTTTAGAAAAATCAATTTTCCAAAAACCCCAAAAATCAAGCAACATTTCGAGCAAGAAACGACCCTCAATGTTTGAACAATCGAACAAATAAACATACATGCAATGTAAAGGCTTTGATCATCTTTCAAACGCACCAAATTTGATCAAAAATATTTGATATTTTTAATTTAATTGCAAAAAAGGCGGAAATTCATGATATGATGCAACGAAAAAATCCATATAAAAACATTTAATCAATCATAAATAGACATACCAATTTTATTTGAGAGATCAAGCATTAATCATAAAAATATACAACTCAATTTTATACAAAACGACCAATAAATAGAATAAAAACTCTGTGTTTTTTGATCGAATACAAGTTCTTTGAGCAGTAGCAGCATTTCGGGCCAAAATCAACCAATAACATTCGGTTTTCTGAACAAATTGATACATAAATCTAATGAATAATTCAATTATCTATCAAAACCACCAAAATTCTTCAAGAACCATTCGGTATCGAAGAAATTATTGAAAGAATGGCGGAAATTTTCAAAAACCTAAAAGATCCAAGAAAATCTTATTTTTTTGATGTTTCAATCCAAATTTCTTGTTTCATAGGATTATAGATAGTGATTTACAATCACGAAAATGGACAACAAAAGAGGCATGAAAACAGATCAGAATGCCTGCTACAAATAACGGTCTCAATTTCAAAATAACTGTTGTTATTTACTACCCTACCGTTATTTACGTTATTTAGGCTAACCGGTCCGGTTAGCAAAAACCGGCCGATTTTGTGGAAAAACCGCCGGTTCAAGGCCTAACCGGTCGGTTTTTTAACCCAAATTTTTTGGAGAGTACCGATTGCTTAGTAGACCACTAAAACCGGCGGTAACCGGAGTCGCCACCCTCGGTAGCGATCTAACCAACCAGTTCCGGTTCTAACCGGTCGGTTTTGCAAACATTGTTGATAACTAAGAAGAATTACAAACTATATGGCAGGAAACTCTCATACCATGGGAGTAGACCAGAACTTCATTGAACAAAGCCTAGGAACTATACAAACAACCCACTTCTTCCTGTAATACACACTAGTGAAGAGAGAACCTCTAAAAACTAGCACAGAGGTGTGGCAAAACTCACAATTTTCCAGTTGGAAGCTTCTTTACTCGTTCCTTTCTTACATCGTCTTTGTTTCAGGTAAAGCATGCGACCTGCGTGTTTGTGAAGAAAAAGAAATGGAGACTTAGACACTAAAGATTGAACTAGAATTATGAAGACTTGGGTTGTGTTGATCATCGACATATATACATCTAATGGAAACTAAAATCTTTAGTTCCTGCTTTTACCCTTTTCCCATCTTGTTGGCCCCAATGAAAACTAATGGATACATGACTTCCCCATATGCCACAGTAAGTTCAACCTATCTTTGTTCTTTTCTAAAGATGAGTTCAGCATACTAGTTCCCTTCACCCTTAAACCTTCAAAACATAGAGCTGACCCACCATTCCTGTAGAAGAAACTCCCCACCTAGTAGAAAGAAACTTCAAGAAAGCTATCTCTGCATCTGAATGGTAAGTGGAGAGTTTCACATGATGTCGGTTGAACTCCATTCATTTTAATCGTTAACAAAAAAAAATTATGGGTATGGTTGAACTCCGTTCCATTTGCGCCTTTACCAATAGAGGAAAAATAGCCAGCTACACAGAACTACAAGACTCCCAACTAGGCCAGCCACCAGCCCCAAGCACACTCTACCCCACAAGCCACACACAACAACTAAGAGTCTTCTTTGTGAAAATGACGAAGAATCTTCATCTTGAAGCCACACACAATAGCTAAGAGTCTTCTTCAAAACCTAGCCTGAAATGGGGGAACCGTGACTAAGTTCAAACTTCACAAGCTAGTGAACCAAAAGAAAAGTAAAAAAAAAAAAATACAAGATGGAAAGTAACCAAAATCCAACCAGCTCAAATACCACCCTGCAATAGGCTCCTGGTGGAGCCCCTCCCCTCAATCTGGAAAGGACAACAACAACCCATCCTTTCCTCCCCCATGTTAACTTCTTTGTAAGAAATCTCCTTGTCAACCCTACC